AGTATCACAGCACTAACACGTCTTTCTCTTCTCACTCGACTTCTCTGCAGCTTTAACCTCATTTGAAGGATTCCAGCAGCAGGTTTGGATGTGTCGGAGTTTCCAGACGGCCTTTAAACGCATCATGATGTAAGCGGCTGCACTGACAGGGAATAAAACACCTGAGCAGGTGTGCTGCTGCTGCTGCTGCCAACAGGATGTCCTGCTGCTCCGGCTGCTGTGTGAGTCCCAGCGAGGAGCTGCTGGACGATAAAACTCAAAGTCATGACAGCAGTAGCTGATTTATTCTCCATTACTCATTTATATTAATTTATAACAGGGACCCTGAACACATCACACATCTATTCATTCCCACTATGATTCATAACAGCTTCATTTACACTGAATGACACCATATGACAGCTTTATCTATCAGATTATATAGAAAATGATTTCTATTCATGTTTCTATTATTAAATCTGATCTGATAATCAGGTCAGATTCTGCTTTTCACATCAAGAGACTTTTATCAGGTCAAATGTAAATAAAAGAAGTGAGGAGGTTTCAGGTTTCAGGCTGGGTGTGCCTGGGTCAAAAGTCACTGTGTGTCCTCTCCTGCTGCAGGGATCAGGAAGAAGGAAGAGGAGGAGGAAGATGGACGCGTCTGTGCTCAGAGAAGAGTATCGGAGCTCCAGAGAGAGGAGGAGGAGGCACACTCAGGTGCTGCTGTTCAGGACAGGTGAGAGGAAACGCCGTCTGATCCACTTCCTGTTTGACTTTGGACAAAATCTTTAAACTTAGTAAAAATCCATCTGTCAGGTTAACTGATAGAAATGAGACTTGTTCCTTCACAATAAAAGCATGTCAGACACGCAGAGACTGTGCTGGATCCTTTGTGAACGTGTTTTAATCACTTATTTCAGTAAAAGTAGCAGTACTACAAAGTAAAAGTACTATAAAGTAAAAGTACTCTGTTAACACCATTTTCCTGATGTGAGAAACACAAATTTGCTTCTTCTGCTGTTGTAAAATATGAGCTTTTATTTTGAAGGTGAAACTTCCTGCTGTTGCTCTGGCTGATCTGACTGTTGGAGGTTTTTCTTCTTTCTAAAGTGAACTCACAGGATCTGATGGCTGTGTTTTTATTTTCATCATATTCAGTTTCTGTTTCTAACAGGTGAGTCTCAGGTGAGTCTCAGGTGAGTCTCAGGTGCGTCAGTGGGGCCACAAGTCGAGTGCAGGAGCTGCAGTTTGGAGCCGGTTGAGCCTTTGCTTTACTGCAGTCAGACTGCAGAGGGCGCTGTGTCTCTGAACTTTACCTGCTGCTCACCTGGATGAAATCACCTGAGAGCTGAAATCTGCTGTGCGCCGCCTTTCATGAGTTCAGGTGTTTCTTATTAAAGCAGCACAAACAGAAACACTGATCAATAATTTGAAAGGAAGAATCTTTAATAACTGAGTGTTCAGAGTCAAACATGTTTCACAGACAAATATTCACATCTGAGCGTCACAGATTAGAAACCATTCATCCTCTTTCAGATTATTACTTCCTGTCAGCTG